CCGAGGAGGATTTATTTAATTTATCGAATTTTTTTGCTATTTTTCTGAAAGCAGTAAAATTGAGGCGAATAAAAGAAGAGAGAAAAACTATTTCGTTTGCTTGTGCATGCAGAGCTGCTTCGATTGCTGCTGTTTCTTTTTCTATTGCTGCTGCTAGTTCTCCTCTATCCTTTAAACCCCTTGATGCTATACCTGCTGCTGCTGCTGCTGCTGCTGCTGCTGATGCTGCTGACCATGCAACACCCGTACAGTTCTCCCCATATACAGAGGAAGCATCTACGTTGCTCTCCTGCTGCTGCTGCTGCTGCTGCTGCTGCTGCTGCTGTTCTTTTTGCTGCTGCTGCTGCTGTTCTTGCTGCTGCTGCTGCTCGTCATTGTCTTTCTGTTGCTGCTCTTGTTGCTGCTGCGGAGACAGCTGACGAGAAGGGGGGTTCACCAGCAGCTCCTGCTGCTGCTGCTGCAGCACATACAGCTGCTCTAGCAGCTGCTGCAGCGCAGCAGCAGCAGCAATAAGAGTAGCAACAGCAAACCCATTCACCTTTGCTAGCTCGTGCTGCAGCAGGTCCTCGAAGCGGCTCTCTGGGGGCCTGCAGCAGCAGCAGCAGCAGCAGCAGCAGCAACAGCAGCAGAAGCAGATATAGTAATACCACAAGCAGCGATACAGCAATAGCAGCAGCACACACACAGCAGCAGCAGCAGCAGCAGCAGCAACAAAAGCAGCAGCAAGAGTGCAGCACCGCTGCAGCAACAGCAACAGCAGCAAATCTAGAAGCAGTGTTATCATCAGCAGCATTAGAAGCAGCAGCAGCAGCAGCAGCAGCAGCAGCAGAACTACCACTAGCAGCAGCAGCAGCAACACTATTAGCAGCAGCAGAAGCAGCAACAGGATGCTGTGAATGCAGCATCAGCAGCAGCAGCAGCAGCAGCAACAGCAGCAGTATTAGCAAAAGTAGTAACAGCTTCTTGTATAGAGAGTAAACATAAACTAAATACATCTATAAACAACTAAAAAAAAAATAAAAAAACAAAACAAACAAACAAATAAAATAAATAAATAAACAAATAAAATAAACAAATAAATAAATAAAATAAATAAACAAATAAATAAACAAATAAAATACCTATAATGTTCTCCTTCTAGTGCTTTAGTATTAGCAAAAGTAGTAACAGCTTCTTGTATAGAGAGCAAACATAAACTAAATACATCTATAAGAAACTAAAAAAAGAGAAAAACACAAAAATAAACAACTAAACAACAAAACAAACACCAAAACAAACAAAATAAACAAATAAAGAACAAAATAAACAAATAAATAAACAAATAAATACCTATAATGTTCTCCTTCTAGTGCCTTTGTATTAGCAAAAGTAGTAACAGCTTCTTGTATAGACAGCGCGGAGACATCTGCCCCCGTAAAAAGTTTTACTGCTTTTTTTAGTTCTTTATAAGAAACATAAAAACGAGCACGGTGACACTCACGTAACTCCTGTAAACGCTTTGAAAACTTCATCTTTTTTTTTTTTTTTTTTTTTTTTTTTTTTTTTTTTTTTTTTTTT